GCAATGAGGATTGATCCTCTCACCAGAACTCACAACTTGAATAAATGAAACTTTCCAACGCAAAAATTCCTCAACTGAATGCCTTACAGAAGAAAGTCTGAGGCTCGCACAAGCTTTTATAGAAATTTGGACCATGTTGTCGTTCTACACGTAAAGAAATTTTAGAAAGTCCAACCTGAGACATGTAAATATTGACGAATAATAAGCTACAAACGCAAAGTATAGTAGACAATGCTGCTTGTAAAGCGGGGAATGCCACTGATGTGAGACAGTTACCGAGTCGTGCTTGCGGCGTAGCATTGGGTCCAATTTCGCCTGAAGTATTGAAATGCTTGTTTAAAAAAAAAAAAAGGAAAACTCACCAGTGCACTGACAAGGTCCAATTAAATGGGTACATGGAATTAACATGGATGCAAGAGGCCATGAGGTACTAATTATTTTTACTGTGAAGAAAAAACACTCAGAAATAGGACTAATAACACAACATAACAATGATAAGACGGCACCCTGACAATCATAATTACTGTGTTATTGTTATCGTTATTATTATTTTTATTACTGTGTTATTGTTATTATTGCTACCATCGTTATGATTATTTCTATTAAATATTCCTTTTAACTGTGCTGACGAAAGCCAGTTGTGGTACCAGTTGTTTCCTGAAGCCAAAAACCCATCCGACAGTCGATGCAAAATTGCTAGCCACTACAGATGTGAACTCCTCGGACGAGGGTGTCAAAAGAAATGATATTGCCTGGGGATGTTCTTTATAAGCAGAAATTACATAAGCTTTTGTAACAAATTGGATGGAACAGAAATCCTGGAATTGGTGCCATTTTTTTGAGGTGTAGAGGTCCTTGAGATACTAAATTTCTTACATGCTTTATAGTAGTGATAGGAAACATGTGCTGGTATATCGACACTGAAACCAATGGAAATAATCATTGCGGCCATGGTTATTGGATCCAGGTCGACGCCCCACCATGACAGGATACCAAGAATACCTGTAACTAATGAATATTTTAAAAACGACCCAAGCGAGGGGCTGCATCAA